ATTTGAAGATTTTTGGAATCGGTCTGTATAGCATTAAGAAAACCTTCTCTCTGCCGGCAGAAAGAATTTATAAGGTCTCTGAATCTGTTGGTGGATATTTTATTTTAACTGTCCCTCGCTAATTAATTTACACGATCCCTTCCCTCGTTACAAGTATATATACTTGTTTGTTATTTTAGTGTGTTTCCCCGTCTTTTTTTTTTTTTTTTTTCTTCAATATCGTTAATATTCTTTTCGCTAATCCAACGATTGTCTCCTGATGAGATGTTGGCTGAAAGGGCCCTAGAGACTTTTAAAAATTAAAATCAATGGTTTCCTTGTTTTAAACTATATATATATATATATATATATATATATATATATATAAAAAATGCTTAAACACTAATATTCCATGGTCATAATTTATTCCATACGATCCAATTCATCAGACCTACAAATTCAAAAAGAAAACAGAAAAAACAACTCCGGAAATGAAAATAGAATTTAGAGAGAGTGTAAGTATGTGAGTTTGGGACGAATATTAGAGCTAAAGAAAGGGGTAACAGACGAGAGAAGATGGGAGATTAAAACTTAACAGAGAGAAGTTTTAGAGAGGTGAGTTGAAGACGATTTAAGTGAGAGAAATATGAATGTTGTCGGATGTCTAATACATTAAAGATATAACTGGAAAGGATACAATTTGTGGTGACATACACACACAATAGACGATCTAATCTTAAAGATCAGAAGATGAGAGAGGGAGAGGAAAAGAAAAGAAAAAAAGGGGTGGGGGAGAGAGATGGGCTGGGGAAAACTAAAACTGAAGGGCATTTACTGAAAGCGCCGCTGTGTAATTAAGAAAATTTGACAAAATTAATATTGACTACAGGTTACAAATCAAATATAAATATATAAAAAAAAATATAACGATTATCTAATCTAACAAGGACCTATATTTTTATGTTCAAAAACACATGCGTATATACACATACACAATAACATATACACGTACATACATACATACATATAGGCGTGTATCCACATACACACATATATATACCCATGTACACACATGCACATATATCCACACACACACACACACACACACACACATATATATATATATATATATATATAATAAATTAATTGATTTAAAATATGGTCTTTTTTTGCTACACAGTTCTAACCACGTTTCAAAAATGTTAGAAATGTGTAGCGAAAAAAAAAACACATTTTAAATCAATTACTTTATAATATTAATGCTCTGTAAATTTACATTGAGCACTATTTTTAAAAAATAAAAATATCTATAAGAACACCGGATTATATATTTTACTGTTCTTTCTTTTTAGTTATATATCCGTCTTATGGAGCACATTTACCCACATACATTAAATGCTATATTCTTGTCATATATATATATATATATATATATATATATATATATATATATATATATATATATTGCGTTAAAGCATGAAAGAGACTGTCACAACGCAGTGGTGACCTTCATCTCATTTTATATATATATATATATATATATATATATATATATATATATATATATACGCATTATCCCTGTTATTGAGGACTTTTTAACCATAACTATAACTATAACATATTAAAACTATATTCTTATCATATGTACATACATACATACATACATATATATATATATATATATATATATTAATTATTGGGGCACCCTCAGGAGAATAAAAATAAAAGAAATAGAATAATATGGTGGGGGGCTAGTTAGTAGCAGTCAGGGTCCCTCCTCCCACTTGGTCCACGGTCCTGATAGGATCAGAGCAGTGGATAGATATTCACTCTTGAGTCTTCTATCCCTAAAGCGCTCAGATAAATAAACCCCATCAAATCTAGCCTTCAAGATTAAGGTATTTTATCGTTGTCTGATATGAGCCAATTCCTGACATTTCTACGCCATTTATTTATACTTTACGTTATCATTGCCAACAATAGTTTTTTGTGAATTATAAATTTATTACTTTGTATCATAACTATAGATATATAGACATTACGAAGCGGTATCAGTTATGGAGATTTGACTAAAAGATACGAAAACAGAAGTCGAACCGAAATGCTTTTAAGCACATAAGCCCTTGAGCAAATTAAACAACCGTCTTAGTTTCTCTTCTTTCACCATACGGTCAATTTTCTTCAGATTAGGCCTGCAGTAATATGAATCTATTTTTGGGATGTATAATGAAATTTTTTGGCCTTGAAAAATATTGGGTCATCCGTGATACCATTATATTTTCATCAATCCAAGACACTATTGTCTAGACTGTCGATTAGTTGTCCTACGACCATTGTTTGCGATGGATGTTACTCCAAGGAAGTATCGGAAATTTCTAACGCTGCACGAACACAATGGCAAGTCTTACCAGTGAGCAAATCAAAATAGCATATACTGCCTCGGTAACTCTCTTAATTTAAAACTAATGGGGTACCTGGGGTCAGTCTGCAAGGAACCACTTCGTGGAATGGACATACGAAGTACTAACATGTGAATTTGGGAAAATACCCCCCCCCAAAAAAAAAAATTATAACGAAATTATTCGTTTTGTTTCAATTAATTTACACAAGGGTGTATTTCTATTTCTAAAGAACTAATGGATTCGTCGCCAATACAACACGTCAAACCTTCTTTTCTTATGGTCCATGTCTCCTCAGGACGTAGGTGATCATGATGCTCCACAACTTCCGTGTAGCTCTTAATGAGTTTTGTCCTTCTGTTATTTCTTCTAAACCCTGTTCCGCCATTTATTTATTCAAGCATACTAAGTATTATTTTTCACTGTTTCTCTTGCCTTTATTCTGTTCTGTGAGTATCAGATTTTCCAAGCCCCCTTTCCTTATCATATGCCCTAGAAACCTGAACTGTTTCTTCATGATGTTAAATAAAACTTGTTATTTGAATTAGACGTCACAATCTTATTTATTAAACAATGTCTATGATATCTAACGGCCTGCGATTTCGAAAAATCTAAAAACATGTGTGACCTTCGACAGGGACTAAAAACTGGTGTCCCGTTTTGTAAGATAAATTACCCATTGATGCGGAATTCTTTACCGCTCATCCACGAAAGACTTCGTTGCAAACAATTTCTTATTACTATTTGTCCAAATCGTGTAAAAGCAAAATTGTCCAATTGTTAGATTTTTGCTTTGGACCGTTGTATCTCAGAACTGATTAAAGATATCTTACTGGAATTCTCGCAGGTTTTTATAACACTATTGGACTCTACTTTGAGCAGTAAGAATGTATAATTGCTCTCTAAGCTTAACAGAAGTATGAAATCGATCATAAACGAAAATGACATGTTCATCATTAATTAATCATACCGAAAGATCGGAAGTTGTTGAAGTATTGGAATAAAGTTCAAATATATATATATATATATATTATTCCAGGATCATTTTCCAACTTATTCAAGATGATCTTTGCCCTCTCTAATCTTCTAACTTTTTGTCCTGGTGTATCAAGGTGCCTCTCAGGTTTCACGTACGATTTAATTTTCAAGTCTTTTTTTTAACTACTCTCTGGACTTTCATAGGTGAAACTCCTCTCACACGTACCAAACGTCTTGTGTACTGAGTTGGATCTTTTCTAATTGATCTTTTTAGCTCTAAGTTGAAATGATGAACCCTCTTCCTGTTGTGACCTCCTGATCTTCTTTTCCTTTCTACTGGTCCCTCTTTTTAAAACTTATTCACCGTTCTCTTGGTAGATCTTAAATGGACTTTGAAGTATAAATGTTGGTACCATTATTGAGGGCCTGAAATGATCTTTTCTCTCTCAATATCGCTCATTTGGGAAGACAGTTTTTTTTTTTTTTTAGATATTAAAAATTTTGTGGGATGGATAATAATTCTGTTACACCGCTTGGAAAATGTTGCTGTTACACCCGGTGCGTGTGTGTATATATATATATATATATATATATATATATATATATATATATATATATATATGTGTGTGTGTGTGTGTGTGTGTATGTATGTATGTGTGTGTGTGTAAGACAGCTAGAAATAATGGAAACATTAATGAGAGTGTGGCTGACACAAAACAATTCTGATCCGTTTTCTTTGTAGCTGAATAACTCAATGGGTTTTATCCAGTTATTCTTACAACAAATGGTGTCAAGATGGCTAAACGTATTATCTGACAACCTGGAAAAAAAATGCTGTTACACCGCTTGGACAATGCTGCTGTTACACCCAGATATATATATATATATATATATATAAAATATATATATATATATATATATATATATAAAAGACAGCTAGAAATAATGGAAGCATTAATAATAAAAAAAGAAAAAAAATCAATACTCAAGTATATCAACTATGAACACGGCTACAACATGATATCGTATATGAAAAATTAAAATAAATATTCCCATCACTATAGATACACGTACATGAAAATCTTTATCTAAATATTCACTTAAAAAAATAAAAAAATCGTTGATGACTGTTAATAGAATCGTGGAAAGCGCCTCGAAATATGGAACCTTTGAACCTTTATGTCCAGAAAAAACTTGAATGAAAATCTTAACCACAGTACTCTGTCCCTCGTCCTAGTTGTCTGACCTGCTAGGGATACCTGACGTTGGTGTGCAGTTGGTGTAATGAATAATAGCTCTGAATTGTTAATTGCAGAATCGAGTTCCAATTTCCACTGGCTCCGTTATATTCACTGACACCTAAATGCCACTGGGAAATGTATGAATTCCCCTGATTTTTTTGTTAGAAGCAGAATGCGGGACTGTTGTGTAACATCCTCTTGTATGGCAGTGAATTCTGGGCAATCTTCTCACAGATGAAGAGATGTTTGAAGGCAAAAAAGATCTCGTTCTACGGACAGAGCGCGAAAATTAGGAAAAGGTCTTAAATAAAAGGCAAACAACAAGGACGCTTATAGTTTTTTAAGGGCTACAAACGACACGAAGTTATGGATAGCCACGATCAGGGACACCAGATATTCTTCTATGGAATCGTCTGCTTCTTTCGCCATTAACCATCGCTTCAATGCATACTTTTCATTATTCCTTTTTTTTTTTTTTTTGCTTTGTTTGCTATGACCATATAACTTAAGGATCTTACTTTTTATTAAGGGAGCAACTGAAAATTTACAGGCAGCTGAAATTTCTCCCGACGCACGATGAGGAAAGAGAAGAAGTAGAAGAAGGTAGCGGTCTACCTACTTAAGAAACTTGAACAAACGTTGTTAACGGCTAAAAAGGTATAGGAGGTTTTGGAGAGCCTTAATCGCCCACGTTTTTAAAGCGATGTGGTACAAGAAAGAATGTCACAGTCTTACCTTACACAGTAATCTGGAAGCTATCATTATAATTTATAACTGAAGTAAAATAAGCCTTGCCCTTTCTAAAAGACTAAAAAAATTCAAATAGAAGTTTTTTTTTAAAATGGTGTTATTTTCAAACCTGTCAAGTTTCAACGGCTGGCTTATCACAATCTTGTGAAAACCAGTTTGGAAAGAAATACATCACATTAGACTGAATATTAATGTAATTGTGATCACCTTAGAAACTGAAAAAAAAACTTTTATTTAATACTTTAATGACCCCATACTGCAAAAAAGATTTTATACCTAAAAATATTACAAAATATCCTGTAAAATTATTTATTTGCAAAACGGATGTGCAAGTGGTGTAACGGGTAGCAATTCTAAATGAGAAATCAGAACCGATTCGTCATATTCAATAATGCGTAAACAACCTCAGGAAAAGTATGAATCCACCTCCTCTCCCTGGGTATGGGTTAAATAGTAAGACGTATATCCGGAAAAAATAATTGTTATTCTAAAATAAAAATAAAAATATTTCGATATTTACAACACACAAAAAAATTTAAAAAAAGAGAATTTTTCTTAGAATCCCCGCCAAAAAATGTTTCGGCTTTAAATAACAAACATAGGATTGATAACCCGTAAAAAATAATTTAATCACTCAGAATTGTGTGTTAAACAACATTAAACTTTCTTTTTATAATAAAAGAAAGCATCTGTATTACTCTTAACCTCTATGTGTCCAGATACTATTTATAGAGCTAACTATTTTTTAAGTTTGCCACATCATTTCTAACATATTTAAGACAAAGGAAACTGAAGATAGAATAGGCTGCGCTAGAGGTAGTTTCAGCCAACACCCCAGCTTGCTATAAAAACCAAAACATCAAACTGAAAATTCGTGTAATGTTCTTAATGTTCGCGACTTTCATATGGATATAATATATAGCGCCAAACTCGAAATATCTAAACTGTCAGCTGTATACGACCGCTTTCTAAGAGCATTGCTTAATATAGCTATGAAGGAGCGAACACTGTAGGTCTCTTTCGAAACTTGTGGACTGTGAATCACAAATAAGGAACTATACCAAATAAGAGAAACCCTATCCCTTGAGGACTTTCAACAGCAGCAACAACTAAAATGGAAAGCACATGTAATTCGAAGAGAAAACAATGTCGTAATCAAGATGGCGACAGTCTGCACTACTTCAAATAAAAGGATAGGAAGTATAACTCAATCAATACTTGAAAGATCGATAACAGCCACTGGACTTGAGAAACCTATACCCTTGTGCAAATTAATTGAAACAATCGCTTTAGTTTCCTTTCTTTCACCATACGGTCAGTTTTAGACCCACTAGAGTAACAGGGTATAGTTGTTTTCTATTTTTTAGCAGATTAGGTCATTTACAGTGGTGTGAAGTAATATGAATCTGTTTTTGGGGTGTATGACGAAATTTGTTTGGCCTTGAAAAATATTGCGTCATCCGTGATTGTATCAGATTTTCATGACGCCCAGAAACTAGTGTCTCGACTGTCGATTAGTTGTCCTACGACCATTGTCTGCGATGGACGTTACTCCAAGGAAGCGTACGAAAATTGTAACGCTGCACGAAGACACTGGCAAATTAACAAATCAAAGTACTATATAGTGGCCCGGAAACTTTCCTGATTTAAATCTTTTGTCAATCTGCAAGGAAAGACTTTGTGGAATGGACATACGAAGTACTAATATGTGCAATGGGTCATGTTTCATTGGAAAAATACGACCAGCAGTAAATAATAACGGAATTATTCGATTCGTTTGAATTATTTGCACAAGGGTATATTTTCCTGAAAAATTGTTTTTAAGAGAAAGATTTTATATATTTCAACCGAATGTAGCATTGGTTGCTCGGCTAACGAATGCCAAATGTTTCCTTGTAAGGAAACAACTAATATTACTATCACTGTTGCGATATTTTCTTTAAAAAAAATAAATAACTGAAAACTCCTGTTCTTAAATATCCTTGTCAAATTGAATCTCTCATCTGGATGTCATGCAGGAGAACAAACACGCTCAGAAATATTTACTCTGCCTGTTTTATATAACTGCTTCTTAAGATCAATGCTTAAAAGTGGCTTCGCGCAAATGAAGCCTGTAGGTTTTAACGAGGACCATCCTTCTTCGAAATACGTGACTGAAGCTGCAGAATCGGAAATAATTATTCCAAATAACAAAAAACGACTCCGCTTGAGGACATCAAAGGAAGCAACAATTAAAATGCATATAACTCGATGTGAAGATAATGATATAATCAATAGGTTGACGTTCCACACAACCTCAAACAAAAGTTTAGGAAGGAAACCTCCATCAGTACTGGAAAGAGCAGTAACAATTACTGAACTTGAAAAAAATTGTTTTAAGAGAAAGATTTTATAAATTCCAACCGAAAGCGGTATTGGTCACTCGATCAATGAATGCCGAATGTTTCCTGACGAAGAAATGGCTAATATAGGTATTATTATTTCCTTTATAAGTCTGATCATTTCGATGAGGTCATATTTGCATCTGATTTTAAAAAAAATGACCTACAATCTGTTTTAACAGAGGCAAAGAATAGCTTGTTGCTTTTAACGCCTCCAAAAACAAAAACAAAAAAAAAAAAAATGCTTTCCATCAATCATCTGAGCGATCTCTTTCTTCCTTTCATCAATTATGGCTGATGCTAACCTTCTGGAGAGAGAGACTCGTTGCGCTTTCTCGGGCTAACATTCTCGGTCGACATGAAGTGGAAAGATTAAAATTGAACACAATTGCCAGGTCTGCTGCTAAGAAAGTTGTTTCACTGTGTCATGCTAGAATCTATCTTACATAGCTATATCTACCATTCATCCATGTTTCGAATATTGTTACCACTTATGGCCCGGTACGCCTGTTATATATTTAGAGATTCTTGATAATATAAGAAGAATCAGCAATATTATTGGTCTTGACCTGGCATCTCGGCTACACTCACTTTCAAGTTGCTTCCTTGTATCTTTTCTATAAATGCTTTCATGCTAATTGTTCGGATGTGCTCTTCGCTATGGTACTTAGGTTATGGATTGTGGGGTGTTTTTTTTATTACTAACACTATTTTCTTGTATATAGTTTTGTAAATATTCCTTAGAGTTTAAAACTTAACTTTTAAATTGAAAAAAGGTAATTAATCCAGCGGCATTTCAGCTAGCTCTTGGTTTTGCCATCGTTACAATAACTAGGAAAGGGTAGATGCGATAGGCATCAATAAACTACAGAAGAACTCAAAATTGATCGCTGCAATTAAGTACTGAATTAATGTGTAAGCTTACCTTTTAAATTTTCAACGATAATTCTTCTGCTGCTACTTAATCTAAAGATGATTTGATATACATAGATCCTTATTTTCCGCACAAACAATTATTTTTATTTCATAGGTGACAGGAGAGGGGACAATTTATAAAATAAAATTAATCTAGTGTAAAGATGGGAAAATAGAAATTATAATTAGTTATACATTCAACATTTGAAGAGTTAGAGAAACATAATAGCTAATTAAGTCAAACCAATATTATGGAATCTATATAAATAAATGCGAAATTGAAGCTGAATTCTCCCACGAATTCTACGATTAAAAAGGCATGGCTCTACTTTATAATATATATTTACTCGACCCCCCCCACACACACACACACACTGAGTCGGGTTGTGACACAAGGTCAGTTTTTAATTTGATGACCCGAGTGTTTTCACTTGGGCCGCTGGTCTAAGCTGGTCATAACTTATCCATGTTGGTCAGAGCCGGTCCAAGCTAGTCGTAACCGTGATACCACCAGGTAAGTAATTTATACACGGTATTTACTCTGTCCCCCCCACTAGGACGAGATGTGACACAAGGTCTATTAGCTGTACACCCTGGACAGGAACAAAATTTCCTCTCTGCCCCTGACTTGACTCACTTTATAGTCCACCAATAGAAGATTAACCAATCAGAAGACGTAGAATATTTAATCCGTCGTGTATAAAGGCGGCCATTTTGTTTACTCTCTCCGAATGTCCAGTGCCAGCTTGTCAGGCGAAGAGGAACAAAAGAAAGAACTACGCTCTGCTACTTTACCGGGATATCCACTGCTAACCTGAACTACGCTTCCCTACTGTCTTCGAAATATTCACTGCTAACCTCTGGATTCTATACTCAAAGACGACCGTCATCATGAACAACATCCTTAACTATAACAAGCCAATTTCTGAAGGAAATCTTCATTTAAATTTTTTTGTTTTAAAGATTTCAAATAATGAAAATATCTTAATTTGCGAAGCGATAGTGAGCGGAAGACGTCCGCTAGTATTCTATAAAATTTTAACCTGTTTTGTATTTGATTCCATTCTGCATACTTTTGTTAAAAACATTTGGGTGACTTCTTGGAAGACAGCTAAACACTAAAACTAAACACTAAAACTAAACACTAAAACACTAAACTAAACACTAAAACTAAACACTAAAACACTAAAACTAAACACTAAAACTAAACACTAAAACACTAAACTAAACACTAAAACTAAACACTAAAACACTAAAACTAAACACTAAAACTAAACACTAAAACACTAAACTAAACACTAAACTAAATCCAAACGCATTGGCTTAAGGACTTTTTTTCTAATTCGCACACACGTTTTTTTCTTTTTCAATTCTCATTTACCTGTGAAGACACACCTTGTTAAAACGAGCAAGAGTTAACACAAAGCTGAAAAAAATTGAACCCCCTACTATGGACTAAACACATTACAGTTGTAATAGCTCACGAGAATAAATTGCGAGACACTATTTTTTTTTTTTTTTTGGCGAGGTGAAATTTTCTCTGCCCCAGATGTGACCACTTATTCAAGCGTACGCCATCTCGAACGTTTCAGATTCTTTTCTCAGTCTCACGCTTTCTCTCTTTCTCTCCGTCTCTCTGTTACTCTCTGTCTCTTTGGGACAATGGAATTTTCATCAATGTCTCCCATGCTGAGACAAAAGAATAACATTCGAAGATGTTTTTCTAATCTTTTTTCTCATCTTGTCTCGATCCGCCATGTGTTTGTTTTGCATATGTGAGCAACTGCTTTCGTTGCCAGTAGGGAATCCAATGGCTACGCTGCTGCTGCTGTTGTTGTTGTTGCTGCTGCTGCTGTTCTAACTTCGCTCGACCAGTCTTGTGTTTTGTTGCCTTAAGCAACGGGACGTCACCGCTTCTGAAATATCATTACAAAACGGCTTGCATGTCCTACATGTTACGCGAAATCTTATAACACAAAAGATTCGATTTCTCCTTACCGGCAACTACGTTGTTCTCGAAAAGTACAAAGAGCGGAGTTTTCCCGACAACTAAAACAGAGTTTTTTCGTGTTAGTGTGGGCGGTTCGAATCAAAGGGTATTTGGCTCCGAAACGTCTTAGATTTCAAATGTTATTCTCCCGCCTCTGTTGCCTTCAATTTACAATCTGCCGTTTGCCTTAAACATATTTTCCATTTCTATCCAATGAATACACTTCTCGCGCGCACTTGGATAAGTCAACACATGAGCCTACTGGGGTCCATAACTGCAGCTATTTGCACGGCCTTTTCGTGAAAAGACTCTTTTGTCGACTTTTATTTAATTTTTTTTCTTAAATTTTTTGGCACGGCACAGTGAACCAACTGTCCTTGCAGTAGATACAGCTATTGATTCGATGTAGTAGCTCCACTTCAAGTCAGTTAAAAACATGAGGCCAAAAAGGCACGGTGTGTTGCTATCCTGGAGTCCAGCGTCAGCCACGCTGATGGCAGACAGAAAAGTTTCTCTATGGTGGTTAAATGAAAACAGTTAATTTGTAGACGTTCAAATTTACAAGCCATTTCTTGCCCCAGTTAACAACTACTCGACGGTCCTTTTCTTCTTGATTCCATTTTCACTAAAACTTAGTCGTTGCTTAGGTATTCAGTCAATGGTATCCTAAGCATCCTTCTGTAGAACCACAGTTGCCTGAAGTCTCTTCTCCGGCAGTGATGAGATGGTCCGGCCCTCGTTGCCATATAGGTGGACTGATGTTGCATCACCGTTCAGTATTCTACTTTCTTCTAATTTAATTCTACCGTATCTGTCTATATGTCTGAGAAGAGTTATTGAAAAATGAAAAGAAATTGACACGTTTTTGACGGACCGCATCAAGCATATGTAAAATTAACGAAGTGAGGAAATATGGTGGGAGAGAAGATAAGATATGAGTGAGTTAGATGTACCATTTCATTTCATTTCATTTCATTTCAACCTTTGAAAGTAAAGTCTGATGATCCAGAGCCCCGTTAAAGGGGTTATGGTGAAATAACTTATTACATGGAACCTTAAAGTGCTCTGTTTTTATTCAAACATATCGGCTCTGAATTTTACATTGAGCTCTCCGGATATCATCCTCCTTGGGTCTACCCATGCGGATTACCTAGTTTTGCATAAACTATATATATATATATATATATATATATATATATATATATATATATATATATATAGTATATATTAAATTTAAAACAGTTAAATATCTTCTTTGCGTTCTAGTAGTTATTTGTTCGGACATCATGATGTCATTTGTCGCTTCGTGCCATTGAAGAATACTTGGCGGTACGCGTGTGGTACGCGTGTCATACGTTGCCGACCCCTGGTATCATCTATAAAACTCGGTTATGTATCCTTTTGAATTTGTATTGCTCTTTCTGATATCCTTCTGACCATAAACTACAATATTCTTGTCTTATTTGTGGTCTAATTCTGCTGAGCGCTCTATTCATCAGAATTCTGGTGATAAATTTTGTTATTTTGATCAATTAGGTTGAGTGTCCGCTGGAGTTCATAGACATTTATTTATTTCTCAGTCTTTGAGAGGACACCCCCACCCACTGTTATTTTTGTTTCGTTTTTCCGATTTTGTGACTAAAAAAAATGTCGCAGATAAAAATGTAGATAGTCTTAAGAAAAATTTCACTTTAACTGAGAGAATGCTTTCACACCATGCGCGATACTTTTAGGCACTAAACTACTACTTATTCATCTATTTGTTCCTTCAGATAGTAGGCGGTCATGGCTCTCCATAACTTTCTATCTCTCCTTTCTGACCCTTAGCAGTATTTCACCTTTTGGCAATCCTCCCGCCCCTAATATCATCATCCATTCTCACAAGCTCCACAGATAGTTGGCCAGCATCCTTCCTGCATCTCTCTAGCTCTCGATATGCCATGAAGTTTTTCCAAGACTTCCTAGAACCCGTCGTCGCGTGCTCCTCTGAATGCCACTGGTCTGTGTCTGTTGGTCCGTCTCCGACGAGTCCACTCTGCACTAACCCTGCGTCAGACGTTGTGTTTCGGTATACGCAGGAATATCGGTGGAGAACTGTCGAAGGGTTAGGGTTAGGCTTGTCTCCTCCCTGTCCTGGTTATGCTTGAATTTTAATTAACCTCAACGACACTCATTAACCAGTGTAAAAATAATAACTTTTATTTATGGTACTATGATTGATTAAGATCATGAATCTATAAAAGGCATTTTTAGAAGTTTCCCCGTATAACGAATTCTTAATTTGGGAGGAAGAGGTTGACAAGCGGTTGCAGTTATGGCTAAACAGCCCAGAGTCGTTCAGCTATTTAAATGAAGGCAGTTGATTAGGGGAATTAAAAAAAAAAAAAGGCGCGGACTGAGGCACCACGGTCATCCGACAGGGAGAATGTTGGTCTGCTAGCGGCGAGACCAGTTTGATCTTACTTCTCTGCTCTGTCGGTGACTGTGTTTATGTGGATGCAAACACCACTTGCACTGCTCTGATTGGCCAGCCAATAGTAATGCTTGACCAATTGTATTGGCTAGCCAATAAAAATGCTTGACCGATGGTCTTATATCCTACACCTACGAAGGGTAGGAAGGAAAGCCCCCAAGATCTCTATATACTTGGTGGTCCAATCGAAATAATCTCGTTATATCGTAAGTATCGGGGGGGGGACGAGAAGCGCCATCCCAGTATTTCTCTCATTGACGGATCAATCAAAAATGGTGGCCTTCTATCACCCATAACCACCTTTAGTGGAACATTTTACATCAAGCATATGTCTTTTCACCGGAGTTTTTCAACCTATACAGTGAAATGATTCTGATAGAATTAAAAGTCAAACTAGAATTCATTATTGGCGGTCACAATCTTAACAAAAGATATGCAGATGACATAGTGTTGATATCAGACACAGAAAGGAAATCACAAGAACTCCAACAGAAGATAGATTTACTTCTCTGCTTTTAATAGGGGTGCAAACCCAATTTGCACTGCTCTGATTGGCTAGCTAATAATAATGCTTGACCAATGAGTCATACGCCTTGAAGGGGAGGAAGGAGAGCCCCCAAGAAGCCAATATGATTGGTGGTCCAATCAAAATAATGGTCCTGTGTCGTAAGTATTGGAGGGGAGACGAGAAGCTCAATCCTAGCCCTTCTCTCACTGGTGGGCCAATCAAAAATGGTGGCTTTGTACCGCCCATATCTACCATCAATGGAACATTTTCCATGTTCCAGAATCTCACCTTTATTTGACCTGATTATCACAAGTGTCATCGTCAATTCTATTTGAAAGAATGTTATATTCCTGATCGAAACAAACCTGATCTATTAAGATCTGCTTTGTGCCACGCATTCCAATGAACAATTTCTTTATCAAACTTATCACTTAAGTTAAACAGACCTAAGACTGTACCTAATGACCAATCCCACCCAAGCTTACTATGACACAAATCAAATAATTCATGGAATCGCATTGTTTTAAGATGAAAATATTTTTCTTCCTTTATAAATATGAATTAGATCGCTAATCAACCTTTAAAAACAATTATGGTGTCAATGTCTCTCTTACCTTTTTTTGTCGTTTACCTAATTGGTAAATGACAAAACATAGTTTTAATTTTAAAATTAATGCATAAGAAGCAATCAATGCTTGGGTCTCAAAAACAAAAATCATTAACATTTTTGTTCACAATTTTTCAAAAGTTCATTTGTTTCCAATTAACGTTTTTAGTCTTTCAATATTACTGCAAAGAAAACTTAATCCATAATTTGGGAGATGGCAAAATTTCTTTGGGACTATGTAAAATTTCTCTTACCATAATATCATTTCTCATTATATGTCCAAGAAAGTGTCTCATTCTGATTCTGGGGATAAGCATTCTTTTTGTTACCATTTTCTTTTAGAATTCCTCTTTGTTTTGGCAACTTCCATTTAGACAGTTTCTTCTCGTGAAGCGTTTCCTCGAATTCTACAATCTTAACCTCTTTATGTCTAGGGTCAATCGTTATCTACCTTTCAAGACCAATTTACTGTAGTAAGAATATTTTGAAGAGTTGATTCCATTTAAAAATATTTGAGAAATAAATACATTATTTTTTTATTTTTTAGAAAACGATTTTTTACGGAGATTAATTTTCGCTATTACATAAAGAAACTTTTTGCACTATTTTAAAAAAAAATAATAATTATTTAAAAAATAGTCCGTCCTTTATAACTCGAATGAAAAATGACATAAAAACATGTTGACTTTCCACACTACTTCGAACAAAAGGTTAGAAAGGAAAACCCCGTCAATACTGGAAAAATGATTGTTATTGTTGAGAAACCTATTTTCTTGAGATATAGTTCTAATAGAAAGATTTTATAAAATTTAAACGAGAGTAACAGAGGCTGCTCGGTCAATAAAGGATTAATGATTCCTTATAAGGAATCGGGTGATTCTACCATTAACGTTACCATTATTTGTCAATACTGGACACGTCAATGTATTTCAAGTAAACCTCTAATAGTTCAAGATCTTTCTTCAAGTTTTTGCTTGATATCTATCTATCTATCTATCTACATATCTATCTATCTATCTTTTCCTATGCTTTTTTTTTCTTCCTTGACGTCTTTCTTACCTCGAAAAATTTCTATTTTCTTTCGTTCTCTTCGTTCATGGCTTTCCTGCGTTTCTTGCTTATTTTCCTTCTTTCTTTTCCTTCTGCTTTTTCTTTGTTCTTTTTCTCTCATTCCTGAGAATGAAAGATAAGAAAGAAATCCTCCGATTCTGCCATATTACACCTTTACTCTCTTTTACTTTTCCTCCCACTTCCTCTATTCAGTTACTTTCCTCCCTCTCATTCTTCATTACTAACCCTTCACTAACTTTTCCTTTTCTTCCCTCTCTTTCTCGCTTACTACCACTTTCCCTTCTACTTCCGCTACGCTTTTACTTTTCTCCCTCTCTTGCTCAGTACACCTTCCCTTTCTTTTCCTCTTACTTGCCCTATGCAGATACTTTTCTCCCTCTCTTACTTCCTTCTTATCCTTCATTCACTTTTCCTTTTCCTCCCTCTCCTTCTCACTTATTACGACCTTTCCGTCAACTTCCACTATATTGTTGCTTTTCTCACTCTCATTCTTCCTTACTACCCTTCACCCACTTTTACTTTTCCTCCCACTTCATCAATACAGTTACATTTCATCTTCTCAATTTTTCCTTACTACCCCCTTTCTCTTTTACTTTTCCTCCCACTTCATCTACACAGTTACATTTCTCCCACTCATTCCTTCTTACTACTACCTCTCTCTCTTTTACTTTTCCTCCCACTTCATCTATGCAGTTACATTTCTCCCACTCATTCTCTCTTATAACCCCTTCACTCCCTCTTACTTTTCCTCCTACTTCCTCTGTGCAGTTACTTTTCTCCCACTCATTCTCTCTTATTACCCCTTCACTCTCTCTTACTTTTCCTCCTACATCCTCTATACAGTTGCATTCCTCCCACTCGTTCTCTCTTATTACCCCTTCACTCTCTCTTACTTTTCCTCCTGCTTCCTCTATGCGGTTACTTTTCACCATCTCACCCTTCCCTATTACCCCTTCATTCTCTTTTAATTTTCCTTTTCCTTTTTCTATGCAGTTACTTTTCACCCTCTCATATTCATTACACCTTCACTCTCTTTTACTGTTCCTCCCACTTCATCTATACAGTTACCTTCTCCCTCTCATACTCCCTTACTACCCCATTTATTCTCTTTTACTTTTCCTCACAATTCTTTGCACAATTACTCTCTCCCCCTCTCATTCTTCCTTTATCATTCTTTGATTGCTCCGCCGTAGCCAGTTCTCGCCTCTGTCGTGTCAGCGGTTTTCACACCCAGCCAAGAAAACATTTCCTATGAGATTAATTCACAAACGATACTTGACAACCTTTCACTTCGTTGTGATTCAATCTTTGTTTATTTGCTTCCGTGTAAGAGGAAAAATATGTCTGACACAATATTTTTTGACACTGGAAATAAGAGAGGCACATAAGCACCTTGCAATCGTAAATAAAATGCATTGGGAATTTTAACACATGCGCACAGTTTCTTTGCTTAAACTACCTCTATAATTATTTTCTTTTTTTTTTTAGGGATACCCTTAACGCCAGCTCGATTCCTGTTACTATCTTACCTATTTGAGGTTCTTGACAGGCCTTCAGAGTCAAAGATTGCCCTACCATACGTCTTCTTGCCAAGGAATCCCTTAATTTGTTGTTTACAAGGACCCACGACTAGGACAAAGGAATGGGATCCGGCTACCATTGTTCAAGACCGCCTATCTCAGGTACGTGATGAGCCGCAGATATAGATCTTGGAGCGAAGTGCGAGTACATCGGCTATTCGAAACCGTCGTCCACCCTACACAAAATCACGCAAATAGCCCATCTGGAGCCTGCATGAGTATGTCCACCTCTATTTCTTCTTCAAATCCAATGGCAATGTTCCCTCACGGACCATTGGAGCAGGCTTGGTACGTTGGAAGATTCTCGCTCCTGAACACACATTGGCGACGTACCCATGGTGATACTTCCATTAGCTGTATAGTATGTGCTACACCAGGGCTACATGCAGTTTTGAAGTCAGAGTTACTTTCTCTTAAACCACTCAAGGATATAGAACCCAGTCAGTCCTGCTATTTACCCATAGATTGGGAAAGAAGAAGAGGATTCATACCTTTCCCAACGGTATTAGCCCGTAAGTAAATGTAATGGATCCCACTGAAATTCGAACTCGGCTCTCCGATTTCTCAATCATTAATTAATCATAGCTAAGGACTGGAAGCTCATGAAGGATTGAAATAAAGTTCAAATATATATAGGAAAATTATCCTGGAATATATATATATATATATATATATATATATATATATATATATAATAATTTTCCAATTTATTAAAGGTGAGCCTCGCCCTCTCTAAACTTCTAACTTTCCGTCCCGAAGTAAACAACAAAGATGAGGATATTAGTCTGTATGCAGATAGTCCTCTTCATTCGACCGTAGTCGGGATCATTGATCTGATGCGAACGAGCCTTTACCGTTTTGAATTCAGAGTTATTCTCTCTTACACCGGTTGCCACCCATAGAGGAGAAGAAGAGGATTCCTACCCTTCCCATGGGTATTAGCACGTGAATGTAATGGATTCGAACTCATCTCTGAGGTTCCTCAATCCGAGCCGCTATCCATTACTCCTCCCAGGTAAATTCTGTCTTCATATTTGTTGTAATTGGCTAATGGATTCGTTTACAATTTTCAATATACATTTTATATTCGGTCTTTAATATTTAATATTTATGTGTCCATTATTTTGGGCTCTTTCACGTTTTCGGATTCTCAATTTAAATACGACGAGAACTTTCCTTTATCAGACCAAGAATATTAAACACTGTGTCATCTCTATCTATAAAAGGCAGGATGTGTGTGTGTGTGTGTGTAACGAATGCACGGCTGCAATTTTCGACGGATTTGCACCAAAATTTACATGCACATGCTCCAAGTTAGCGGAAAGGCCAAGACCGACTTAGAATTTCCAAACTCCCATCGATAGTGGAAATAATCGATTTTTTCATACTTACACGGCAGTTTTCATGTAGTTTGCGGCCATTTTCTACTGGCCAGAGTGTGAGCCTATAGCTGGCTGCCACGAATAGGCAGGCATATTCTATTGGCCAGCGTGAGAGCCAACAGCTGACTGACACGAATGTTAACTAGCATGCTAGCATGCAAAAAGAAACTGATAGCTGCATTCGTCACAAGTGGGAAAAATTTAAATCTGCATGACAATTTACTCCAATTGGCTCATTCGCTTGCTTAAACTCAACGTTGATTCTGATTCCGCAGAACTGGGTTAGGTGTGAAAAAGTATTTATTGTTAATATTCTTTTTTTCATTCGGTTTTTCCAGTTACGAATCCTTTTTTAAAGCTGATCGTTTTGTGTTCATTTTGTTTAGTTCTTTTTTCGTAACAGATTTAATGTATAGTATAGAGCTTGAAAAATTCGCAGTTTGAGATAGGCAAGAAGTAAGGCATGTAGCAACATCAGCACGCCAAAGGGCACAACTTTAACGGCAAGGAAGGGCAAAAACATTTTAAGTCAAGTGATAGCGATAGCGATTGCTGTATGAGTCGTACGATTTTTGAATAAAGCACGGGCAACGCCGGGCCATGCTGCCAGTCTTTATATAAAATTAAACATATTTTAAATATCTCTTGCTGATAGATTTTTTTTATTCCTGTGGCAGTGGAGACTTCAGGGGTTATTGGTCCTCGTTCGATGGCGTTCCTTCGGAGGATTGGCGCGATTGCATCTTTATTAAGGGACGAGCCTCGCGAAACGGAGTGGCTCTTGCAGCGTGTCTCACTGGCCATGGTTCGAGGTAATGCTTTCTCCATCATTGCGACTGACAGAGGATAGAAAAAAATTGTTTACTGTTAATTTCTCTATATTTTGTTGTTTAAATTAAACACAGTATTTTCTTTATGCTCAGAACCGGAATTTCTGAGAGAGAATTAAGGAAGGCTTGGAGAATCAGACACACATGACATATCGACGACAACAGGAGCCAGGTAGGGCAGTATGACATCTAACTGTAAATGGATGGAGGAGTGAGTTGGATCGATGGCAAAGCGACAACAGTATGAGTTTGTAAAGAGCCATCATCACCAACGTTCTGGGGAAGTCACAACACATAAAAGAAAGATCAATATTAAGCAGATATGCTAATCATAAGAGAGGAGCTTTCTCATGTACTCAGTTGCTCATCCATTATTTTCAGTTCGTGTCGTTGTATGCCAGTCACAAAACTGTAGGCAAAAAAGAGCAGCTCAGATTGAGGAATCGGAGAGCCGAGTTCGAATTCCAGTCGAATCCATTACATTCACTTACGTAATAATACTCTTGGGAAAGGTGTGAATCCTCTTCTCAGGTTATGGGTAAATAGCAAGGAAGACCGGTTTCTATAGCTTTGGATGGCAACTTGTTTACCTCAGAAAAATATGGCCACCTAATGCGGGGAAAAAATCTGCCTCGTCAGTCATTTATCGAAAGATATATGGTCGCTTAAGCGAGTATCACGCATGACACATAATTGACTGATAACCAGGTACGTCCTTTTCAATTCTAAGTTATTAAATTCTAAATCGCAAATTTTAACCGTTGTACTTATCAAAAAACAGTGTTTCAAACAGACAGCATTTCCCTCGACACTGCTGTTATTTTAACTATCTTCACTCCCTCGGCAGTGTTTATATATTTTAATTATTATTATAATTATTATAAGGCCTAAATAAGGAGATAGAATTTATATATTTTCTTTGTTCTTGAGAATTTACAACAAAAATATTAAACACTTTATTTATTAGATTGCTTAATTCCAAGAATGATTTTATGTTTAAAACTTTCTAAAAAAATAATAGAATTAAATTAATACTAATGCAATGCAATATTTATCATTTAGAAATTCATGAAGAAAGAAATATGATTTTTTTTATTCATAAATAATAATATAATAATTTATAATCATTTACTAAATTATTAAAATATATGAATCATCTATAAAGAAATCTTTATTTACGATATTTTGCCAACCATTCCAATATTCAATAAACAATCTAATAAATACAATGTTTAGATTGCTCGGACTAAGAGTGGATAAAGCCGTTGGTTAGATCCAGTGACAGGACCCAAAGAGTGTGAGTTCAATACCAGGTTAAGGCAGCGGAGAACTTTCAGAGGGAAATTAACAGGAGAGAACTGATAACTGACATCCATTAAATATGGGGCTAGAACAATCTATCCCAGTGAGCGAAATAACGGGTTCAGTTCAACATTCTAACCACCTGAAGAAAGCCGGAGCGTACAACGGCCGGAACGTTGTAATAAATATGGCGACAAAGATGAGGACAATAGTTCGAATAATGTAATTATTGTACATAATACCTCATCTCAGAAATATAGGCAGAATCTGAAAAATATATAGTGTAAATAAACAATTTAATAAATAAATTGCATTTAATATTTTTGTTGTAAATTCTTAAGAAAAAGAAAGCGTATAAATTCACTTTCATTTTATTAACATTATAATCATCGCTTCTTAAAACAATAAAAATTTCCAAAGAGTTGATGGTAGTTAAAATAATACTGGTGTCTTTGTAACAATCCATTTTTTGCCAGTATCAAGGTTAAACATTGCCTCTACATCCATATTAATTTTCATCTGAAGGCTGACCTTTGAATTCACATTAAATTTGAAGTTAGTGTACAGAGAAACAAGTTTCTGGGGAGATTAATTGTTTTCGGTGATTAAATATGGCGTCGAAGGAAACGAGAACAAGATGTCTGCGGTTATTTACTTTCAATAAAATAACACCCATTTTTTTTTCTAAGTTAATGAAACTAAAGACCTTCAGCAGGAATGATTTCTTAAATTCATCATGTTATCTGCGTGCCGTGTACTATTAAAGACGCGTTATTTAGCGGAAATGAACCCATCCCATAATACTATTACGCTGCCTGTGCGGATGGCGTAACGATTACTGGCGCGGAAATGAGAATTGAAGTTCAGAGTTCAAATTCTAACAGTCGGTTTCGTTCACTTCGCGCTAATACCCTTATAAAAGAAATGAATCCGTCTGTCACGGGTTATGGGTTAAATAGTAGGGTAAACTGAGCTTTCTTACATTGAATAGGAGCCAGTTTGGGGAAGAAGAAATTCTAATTTCAAACCTCAATAAATAATTGGTTACAATAAACTCTTCAACCTTTCGTTAGTACTGTGAGGCGTTGCAACAGAATTAGTACTGTGGAGTTTTCCAACACCTTATTATTTAAAATATTATAGATATACTTTTAATTATTAATTTTCTTGTTATAGACCTTAGTGTTCTTTCTGTTTTGTTTTTTTGTTTTTTTATAGGATAAATATAAATTTAAAAAATGGGTTTATTTTGAAAAATTAAATGAATGGGTAAGTATTTTAAAAAAAAAGTGTTTCGATTGTCCCGCCTTTCATCAGATGACTGTCAAAGTTGTTAAGCTAGCGTGAATTTTGAAACAAACACTTTATTCAATTCACGTGAATTCATTCCACCGTCAATACTAGGAGAAATAATTCGTATTAATCAATTCGTCCTTAGCTTGTTTTATCTACTTAACCAGAGTATAGATATATTTTTATTCTGCATTACCTGATAAGGAATTGAACTCACAAACGTTAGATAATTAGATTCCCTTTGCCCTCTGTTTGTCCTGTTGGGTATTGTCTAACAATATTAGTGCCGGGGTGTTTGAAAACACCCCATTTAAAATATTATAGATATATCATTTTCTTAATTTCTTTCAGTGATTTACTGGGCGTTGCTTGGATGTGGCACAAAGCTGCAAGTATGGGGCACCCAGTGAGGATCTAATTTACTGTTCAGTCGTAATTGCTCTAGTGAAACAAGCTTGCTATTACACCGTGTCGGTGTGTCACACAGTGAAATTATATTGTTCTAAGTTATAAATGAAATCAATGTGAATTACGTGGATATAATCACTTCCCATTGTGAGCATCAAATCTCTCTTTTTTCTTCTTTTTTTAAAGCAAGGCAGTAAAGCCACTAAGACAGAAGGTGTCACTGGGTGGGGAAGGATTGGAAAACAGAAACATCACTAAGGAGCGAGAACAAAAGAAGACCAATCAGGAAGACAGGATATAGCGATTGACATTGCATTTAATTTTTTGAAGATAAGAGTTGTATCTTAGAAATGATTAAAGATATCTTATTGGAATTCTCCGAGATTTTTATAACATTATTAAACTCTACTTTGATCAATAAGAATGTATAATTACTCTCCATGCTTAACGGAAGAATTGTAATGAAATCTATCATAAACGCAAATGACATGTTCATCATTAATTAATCATAGCTAAGGATCTGTTTTCTGATTCTTTGAAAGTCAACAAATTCCTTAGTTTGACCTTCTAGCTCATAATCCTAAGAGTAATCAGGAGGACAGTAGACAGCAATCGACATTGCACTTTCTCACAGACGGTGCCCAACTGACTCTACTATAGAGTGCAGACGACAAAATAAAAAACAACGCGCATATATATATATATTATTAGTCAAACCTTATTTTTAGTGCATACCCATATTTGCGTAGACGCTCTGTTTACTTATTAAAGAGTATAATTTATTTATTTTCGTCTACCGTCCTAAATATTTGAGAAGTCTTATTAAAGAAAAAAATTGCGATCTCCAACAGAATTAGGACCTGCGTCCCACTTCATTAGGAGAAATCCTTTTTAGAACTGATGTGCTTTAAATCAGCTTAATAGACAGAAATCTTTCCCAGACTCTCTAAACATTCCTATCTGCTCAATTTCGTATCTAACGTAAACAAAGCATTTTTAAAAGAAGAAATGGATTTTTATTTATGAATCCGTCAGATTTTATTAAATGTTATTATTAGGACACACACACACACACACACACATATATATATATATATATAAAGAGAGCGAGAGAGAGAGAGAGCGAGAGAGAGAGAGAGAGAGAGAGAGAGAGAGAGAGAGAGAGCATACCTTAAAATTATATACAGTGACACGCATAAGTATTGGATACATGTTATTTTCTGTTATAACTCTAGTTTATGTTCGCCATTTTGCCTGATATTTGGTAAGTAATATCTAGCAAAGTTGTTTTAGTTTTATGTGGAAGGAAAATTAAAAATTCATGGTTGAATCCATTTTTTTTTTATCAAAGTTCAAAATTACCCTATATATATATATATATATATATATATATATATATATATATATATATATATAGTTTTAAGGTATGCTATATTCATGAATTATAGTGCTAAAATAAGAGATAGAGAGTATGCAAATATAAAATCGACATATGAGTTCAGCGACCAGAGGGAGCAGTCTGTTACATGTTTAAACGCAATCTTTATATATATATATATATATATATATATATATATATATATATATATATATAGTTCTTCTTGTCATCATCTCACTTGGTCCAATGATGCTTAAGCATTGAAGGAAGAAGATGGGGTCCTGGTCCTCCCAAAATCCCCACTCAGTACATAGGATCTAATCATTGTTTCCAAAATAGATTTGAATGGAACTTTGTGTGAGTAGTAATAAGGATGGCTTAGCAATTGAGAGCCACAGCTGACTGCTTTAGCTACACCAACCTGAGTAATATGAACGGAAGTGGTACCCCAAAGTAAGGGCCCTCAGCTTACCCCTGTCTTTCGTCTTGATTACTTCCTTCGGTTGTCTTAATTTTGATGTATTGTACTGTCCATAATTAGTTTTTCCCGTTTTCCAGGTAGTCAATTATGATTAACCATTTAGAATCCACCAAAACTGGAGCTCTCACCTTGCCAACAGACGTTGCCTTCTTGAATATCTTCGTTGGTGGAGAACCAGACTGTTTCCTATGTTTGCTTTGAATCTTTGATTCAGGTTCGAATTGGCGAACCAAGATTTTTTCTTGAGTTACTTATCTGCGATGGGAATTCTCAGGGTCAGTCAGGATGCGAGTGTTCTTGAAATGTCAATCCTTTTCAGCTTTTAATCTGGTGCCAGCTTTCTTGAGACCAATCTTGCAGACAGCTGTCTCATCCCCAATATCTCAGCTTTTTATAGACCCGAACTAGTGCTTATTGGCTTAGCTATCAGCTGGATCAGTCTGTCATCCAAAATCATACGGCGGATGGCATCAACTTGTTCATCAATGGTTGAGGTTTTTGGACGACGTGACAGGGGGTCATATTCTGTGTTGTCCCTGTCCCTGCCAAGTTCGATTTTCGCAGCCGACTTCTCCACAGTTACATAGGGAGGGGGAGGTCATTCGCAAATGTCAGTACGATGTCTTCATGGATGTCATACCTTTCTTTTGCAGAGCCCCGGGCCTCTGTTTTGTCCATTTTTAGATTTGTCGCACTCCTCTCACCTTTGAATGGGCCTCACCTGCACAGAAATTAAGACAGAAATCAGGATTAGTTTTCTTTTTTTTTTAGTTTTATAAGAAGTGGTAGTGTTTTATCACAACAAAATTGTTCGATTATGGCTCTTCTTTCTGGGTGAGGCTTAGAACTTTTTGAACGACCCTCGTATGTATAACAAGCAGCACTTAATGAAGTACAGAGGGACACCGAAGAAAGACAGCTCAATGCTATAGTACCCTGTAGAGCCTTAATATTTCACAAAAAAATCCCCGCTAAACTGAAAGCCACCACAGCTAAAAGCTTCATTCGTTCTCATTCAATCACTTGGCGGTCGTGGGCCGTTATTTGGGAAAATGGGCATTTTATCCTTCCCTCGTCCAGTTCGTATTTTACAAGGTTAATCGATGCATACTCGCACACTCCAACCGAATTCACCGAAAATGTGATGGGAATGCTGTAAAATCACCAAAAATATGCATCCTATTTCAGTGTCCACACGTATTGTGTTGGGAGTTCGACCCTCTCATGTGACTATTTGTATTAAGGTTAGTATAGTATACAGACACACCTCTCATCAACGGAATAGGGGGAAGGGGTGGTCCTTTAAAACCGATCTTCCGTAGATGGAAAGGGATTATTTTTGAGTTATAAAATTGCTATAGTGACTACCAGTAGTTATGATCATAATGTAAATACTATAAAGATGTATATATGGCATACATAAATACTTAATATAGATATATTAATCAAAATAACAAAAATAATAGATTTCTCACAGCTACTTTTTCACGCACGCGCTAATGTATCGTACTTTATATACTGTACACTCGTCTTTGTTTACAATTGCAAAGACTGCTACCGCCGCCAAGCAGTGACTTTGAGAACTAATGCGACTCATTCCGCTAAGGCCGAAAATTTTTTTAAATACATCGATAACAATTTTGAAGTTTTTTTTCCTCTGCATAACTTGTTTTTGTTTTTATTTTTCCTGTAGATTTTGTCCGTTGCATCCGAAGTCCGTTGAGGGGATGGAGTCCGTAGATGAGAGGTTTTTCTGTATTCCTATACATCTTATTCTTGAAAAGTGTAAACATTTGAACATATGCAAATCGATTTCAAACACTTCCCTGTTTCTTTTCTATAAATATTTTCATGATATTTGCGATGAGTTTTCGTCTTTGGTACCCCAGCTTCAGCGTAGTACTTAATTGGCAATTAGGTCTCGTCGTTTTACTGTTGAAATTGCTATATGTAACCACCAGATCCATTTTTAGAAAGTTTTTATTTCGGATCACATTCCAACTATAATTTAAAGGTCCCTGAAAGAATTTTCATTAGGCCAAGATAGTTTTCCTTACATAAACAACAGCAATGGTTGTTCGTTTATCCCGTACTTCTCGCTTGTGAGACAATTTTTCAGATTCTTGCTTTTCTGTAAATAATGATGGTCAAAAATTGAAATACACTATCAATCGTCATTGTTTTCCTTAAAATCTGTTTATTTTAGGGTCCTTTCAACTCACTAACGTTTTCATTCACTGTCTGTAACCCCTTGCGTCTTAGTAGATTTATCGCCTTGTTTGGGGCGAATTTAAAAAAGAAATTATCGCAACAATTTTGTTTTTTTGTTCTTCATAGTGATCTATTCTTTCAGAATTGGCTCATTAACCATTTGCCAGAAACGTTTTCAGTTATTTTTGCAGGTGGAGCTTCTTGTTTTTTTTTTTTTTTTTTTCGTTGACTTTAGTTTATTGCATCATCAAGTGCATAGAATCCCGGTGTTTGTTCAGAGACGTCGATCCCCACCCAAATCATCCCCCAGCAAAAAATATTGGGGGTGGGGTTGAGAAAAGGGTAACTACAGAAGAATAACATAAATGCAGAGCAAAAAATAAAAACTGTGGAATTTTTTTTTTTATCCATTTCTAAGATTTTAAGATTCACACGCCAGCAATTCCTGCCGGCCGCTACCAATTTGTCAATGACATTTTTCTCTTCGAATTCAACTTTTTTTTTGACAAACTTACGCTATTTCTTATCCTCAGCCTTTTCCTTCTCATTTATCACTTTCCTTATCCCTCCTCCCCCCTCCTCCTCCTCCGTCTTCTTCTTCCTTCCTTCCTTCTTTCCTTCCTTCCTTCCTTCCTTCCTTCTTTCCTTCCTTCTTTCCTTCCTTCCTTCCTTCTTTCCAATTTCGAATATTCTCTCTCTTCGTTCTCCTCCTCCTCAACTACTTTCCTCCTTCTCCTTTTCTCTTCTGTAACTCTCACCTCCTCTTCCTCTCCCTCCGCCACTTTCCTCTTCCTCTATTTATCTTCTGTAACTCTCACCTCGTCCTCCTCCTCTTTCAACGCCGCTACTTTCCTCCTTTTCTCTACTGTAACTCTCACCCCTCTTCCTCATTCACCACATTCCTCCTCCTTCTTTTCTCTTCTGTAACTCTCACCTCCTCCTCCTTCTTTTCTCTTCTGTAACTCTCACCTCCTCCTCCTTCTTTTCTTTATTTTAATTTTCCTCCGTTGTCTTCTCTTCCCTTGTTTTTTTTATTGTTCTTTATCTCCAGTCTTTATCGTTATGTTTATTTTCAATTCTTCTTCTTCTTCTTTCTCCATTACCCTCCTCCCTGTTTTTACGTTATTTTTCAATTTTTTTCTCTCCTCCCCTTTCTTTTTTTATTTTCATCCCCCTCTCCTTATTTTTCTTCTCCTCCTCTTCCTATGTCTTCCAGTTATCCTTTCCACCTCCCTTTTTTTTTGTTATTCACATTCGCACTCTTCTCCTCCCGCTCTCTTAGTTCTTCTTTTTCAATCTACTGCCTTTATATCGCCTTGTCGATTGATGATATATATGTTATATTCAGTTGAATGTTTAATCCGAGAAACTCATTACCAATAAGCAACATGACAAATTGTGATTACGTTCATCATATCTTTGCCTCTGATAAATTTGATTTCAGGAAATTAGCCTTCAATAGTCCACTAGATGTTATTACTCTTTCTCGTACTAATCGGAGATTCCTTCCAAACCATTTCCTTAACAGAGTGTGGAAAGTCAACACGTTGATTATATAATTATTTTCCATTTTAATTACATGCGCTAACCATTTTTGTTGTTTGAAACGTTAAAGTAATGTGATTATGTTGTTTGGTAGATGTCCTTGTGATTTTACAGCGCCCTAATTAAGGTTCTGATAAACGAAACAAAGAAAAGAGCGCTCGATTGCTATGTGATATCCGTCTTCTGATATGGCAGTGAATGCTGGGAAATCTCCCCCCAGCAGAAGAAAAAACGGGTGGCAACAGAAATGTCGTACTGCAGATTGATTAATTGTTTTGTTTGTTTAATGGCATATCAGCACCTTATGGGTCATTTAATGCCGAAATTTAATTTTCTCGAGAGCTTTGAAATAATGAAAATATATGTTTCAACTTCCTTCTTTTATTTCTTCTTTATCGTCTTCTTTTTTATCGTCTTCTTTTTTATCGTCTTCTTTTTTATAACTCATTTTTACTCTTTTCCTTTTTTCTTTTTCGTATCTTTCACAAATGAATCCATGGTAGATTATAACTCAACTTTTGTGCATATACATGTTTGTGTGGACATAATTACTAGAAGCGGTGATATGCGTTTTTTATGTTGTAGTATTTTTGAAGTTAGAATTTGGATTATAGTTAGATTTCGTTAAAGAATTGTAGGATATTATATTGATTAAAGTGACGAAAGTGTTTTTTTAATCATGGTTGTTTAGTTGATTTTGTTTAGCGACATATCAACACCTCTATGGGTTATTTAATATCGAAATCTAAATATTTCGATTGGTTTGGTTGATTTTGTTTGGCGGCATATCAACATCTTTATAGGTTATTTATTACCAAAATCTAGATATTTTGATTGGTTTGGTTTAGTTGATTTTGTTTAGGAACATATCAACACCTCTATAGGTCATTTAATGCCGAAATGTAAATATTTTGATTGATTTGTTGTGGTTGATTTTGTTTAGCGACATATCAACACCTCTATGGGTCATTTAATGCCGAAATGTAAATATTTTGATTGATTTGTTGTGGTTGATTTTGTTTAGCGACATATCAACACCTCTATGGGTTTATTTAATGCCTAAATCTAAATTTTTCGATTGGTTTTTATTGATTTTGTTTGGCGGCATATCAACACCTTTATGGGTTATTATTACCAAAATCTAGATATTTTGATTGGTTTGGTTTAGTTGATTTTGTTTAGCGACATATCAACACCTCTATGGGTCATTTAATGCCGAAATCTAAATATTTTGATTGATTTGTTGTGGTTGATTTTGTTTAGCGACATATCAACACCTCTATGGGTTATTTAATGCCGAAATCTAAATATTTTGATTGATTTGTTGTGGTTGATTTTGTTTAGCGACATATCAACACCTCTATGGGTCATTTAATGCCGAAATGTAAATATTTTGATTGATTTGTTGTGGTTGATTTTGTTTAGCGACATATCAACACCTCTATGGGTCATTTAATGCCGAAATCTAAATATTTTGATTGATTTGTTGTGGTTGATTTTGTTTAGCGACATATCAACACCTCTATGGGTCATTTAATGCCGAAATGTAAATATTTTGATTGATTTGTTGTGGTTGATTTTATTTAGCGACATATCAACACCTCTATAGGTCATTTAATGCCGAAATGTAAATATTTTGATTGATTTGTTGTGGTTGATTTTGTTTAGCGACATATCAACACCTCTATGGGTCATTTAATGCCGAAATGTAAATATTTTGATTGATTTGTTGTGGTTGATTTTGTTTAGCGACATATCAACACCTCTATGGGTTATTTAATGCCTAAATCTAAATATTTCGATTGGTTTGGTTGATTTTGTTTGGCGGCATATCAACATCTTTATAGGTTATTTATTACCAAAATCTAGATATTTTGATTGGTTTGGTTTAGTTGATTTTGTTTAGGAACATATCAACACCTCTATAGGTCATTTAATGCCGAAATGTAAATATTTTGAACGGATTTGTATGCCTTCAAATAAATATAAAATATACTGTAGGTAATTTTACTATCAATAGTTGCTACTGGTATATATATATATATATATATATATATATATATATATATATAATTTTTGTTGTTGGTAATATTTTTTATACAAAATTGTATTGCTAGTATTTTTACTAGAAAAATTTAATTTTAAACTTTCATAGTGTTTCACTTTTGATTTGAGGTCAGTGTGGTTCTAGGAACAACAGCAATTCGCCAATCTCCTGATCAGAAACCTTTGGTTCTACAGAAGGATACTGAGAATTGCTTGGACGGGGCGACTAAGCAACAAGGTAGTCTTAAAGTAAACAGCAACAGCAAGAACACTTACTCAGAATCAGTAAAAGGCAAATGAAATTCTTGGGTGAACTTAAACTCTCACGGGCCATATTGAGGACACGATAGATAAAGGAAGACATCGAGTCACTTACCTGACGGGCTTGTGTGAATTAATGGCGAAACATGGATGCGGAAACCTTAGAAAAGGTAGAAAGACTAAGATAGTAAGATAGGCGATCATGGCCTTCCACAACTTCCTATGTTCCGAAACGACGCTGCTTATCGAAGAAGGAGTCGATAAGGACTGATGAAGGATTGTCTTCAAGATATAAATGACTTGAAACCATTTCTACATGGGGATCCGAGATCCGGACCTTTTACATTACTTCCATTTATATGAGACGACTGACAGCACTAATATGACTATCTGTTCAATATCATATATTCTGATTTGTTTATCTTTGGTTTAGAAATCCAAGTTTAAAATATCATACGAACGATTTTTCTATCACGTTGGAATATGGATGAGAACTGACAATTATCTCTGGTTTCAAAAACTGGAGCTGATTTATTGAGAGATGCTGTATTATCACACGTCAACATTCTCTAAATAGAAATAGCCACCCAGATTCAACAAAGACGATACCGACCCGACCCATTCTTCGATCGGATAATTCCTCTGTAATCGTGATTAGGATTGGCAGAAATCTCTTGAAAATACTTGGATTTAAAAAAAAAAAAAAAAACCACTTTGGATTGGTTTACACTTTCGTTCTAAAGTATTAACTTTCTCCTTGTCGACAAAGTTAATACTTAACCCTTTTCCAGTACCTGTATGGACTAGGGCGCTCCGAAAATAATTCCTTCTATTCCTTTCTGCGAAATTTATAGTATTTACTGGGGGAAAATTAACACTGTTGAATAGGGCAGGTTTTTGCCAATGTTTTTACATTTGGTGGGTTGGCAACTGTGCAAGGCTGCCAGGAACATAAATACTTACATACATCGCTGTCGCCATTGCCAAAATGAATTACTCGTACCATAACTGTGCTCGCATCCATTAGTTGGTCTCCTTAAGCATTATTGAATGACAATAAGGATAATATTTAACCTTTCCCTAGCACATATATGTACTAGGGGGGGGTCCGAAAATAATGCTTTCCGTTTATTTCCGCGAAAAAGATAATATTTTATTAATACCGTTGGACAAAGCATGTTTTCATTTACAAAACACTGTTTTTCAACAAAATCATCATTACTGGCGCCATTTTCACAAGCGTTTTTAATTTGGTGTGTTAGCAGCTGCGCAGGGCCGATAGGGACCAGTCTAGTTAATTATGGCGCTGTTGTCAGTGCTGAAATTAATTACCCACACCATAACTGTGCTCAAATCCACTAGTTGGTCTCCTTAAGAATTATCGAATGAACATTTTTTTCAGCGAAGAGGAATTTAATGAAATATATCTTGTTTTTAAAAGCCTTTTCTTGTGAAAGGCCGTTTGACTAAATTGCTATCTACAAGCAAAACAATAAAAAAAAGTATTTTCTTGGTGGAGACGTTGAATCTCTACAATGGAATCGCAATCACCTGCTTCTAAAATCGTGGAAAAATATAATAAATTAGAAAACATTTGGAATAACACTGGTATGTAATAGGTATATATTATATAGCATAGTATATAGGCATATAATAGGTATTCTTTATGATAGGTATACTTTATTTTTGTATATAATAGATATTTTTATTCTTTATGTCCGTATGATATTTATAAAAGCTATCAACAATTTTTCTCCACCATTTTCAGTATCAGTTATTTCACTTTATTTCCGATACTAAGATATCCGGAAGAGGCTTGACACGTGAAACTAGATCAATCTTCCCAGGTGAGCCAAATAAAGGGTTCGGTTCGAAATTCCAATACCCTGAAGAAGGCCGGAGCGCACAACTGCCGAAACGTCGTGAATATGGCAACAAAGATGAGGACAACAGTCCGAACAATGTAAATGGCGTAAATAATTACAATACCTCATCTCAGAAATACAGACATGTCCTGAGGAAGTCTGAAGCATACAATGGCTGAAACGTTGTGAATATGGCAACGAAGATGAGGACAACAGTCCAAACAATGTAAATGGTGTGAATATTTATAATACCTCATCTGAGAAATACAGACAAATCCTGAGAAAGTCAAATGCGTGCAACAGCCGAAACATTGTGGATGTAGCAACGAAGATGAGGACAACAGTTCAAACAATGTAAATGGTGTAAATAATTATAATACCTCATCTCAGAAATATAGACATATCCTGAGGAAGTCTGGAGTGTACAACAGCCGAAACATTGTGAATGTGGCAATGAAGGTGAGGAAACAATGTAATTGGTGTAAATAATTAGTGTACCTCATCTCAGATATAAAGAACGGTTCCGCCATTTGTTTTTCTTATGTAGCTATCTCCTTCAGAATGTTTCTGCAAATGCTGTTCTCTTTAACCTGGCATCTCGGTTTCATCGCTTTCAAACCGCCGTAATGTAGCTT